CCTGGACGTCGTCATCGGCGACCTGGGACACGTGGACATCGAATTCAAGGTATTGATACACCTAGACACCGAAAACTACGGAGCGCACTACCTGGACGTCGTCATCGGCGACCTGGGACACGTGGACATCGAATTCAAGGTTTGATACACGGGACTGCGGATGACAATGTCCAATTCCAATGTAAAATCCCACGCCAGTTCCTTTGACTTGGATTGGTTGAAACTAGCTCCTGTCACAAAGGTCTTTACTAAACTTTACGACTTTGTGGCCCAGTGACAGCCCTGTTCATCATTTCCAACGCTTTCTTAAAGTGATCTGTAAATTGCATTTTATTTATCATATTTTACTGAATGTTTGCCAACTGCAAAGAAGGAAAGAAAAACAATATAGATTTAACATTATAATACATACCTTTTATTATTGGTTCCGCCAGTAATTTGTCATTCAACATTCCTTTCCAACCCATGTACCACATTGCAACTTGATCATAATTAGGTGAATTATTGAGCCAAATCGCCAAGATATGTAGCCATTTTGGAAAAAAGATTTTATCAAGTAATCCCGCCATGATATGAACAGGGATCAAGTCCTTCCACTCATATACCCAATTCCATTGATCCAAGTGTTGTTGGTGTGGATTTATGACTAATTCGGATAAGGCTACTTGCAATTTTGGAATAATGTTCTCAACTAAAAATGATTCCATATCTCCCTTTGAGAACACTTCTGCCCAAGGTTGCAGCATTAATCTAGCAGATCTGTCTGATGGATGCCAACCTCCTAGTGCAGATCCAAGTTTTCTACGTATTATTGGATAAATCCAAGTATCTAAGCGATTTCCTAAATAAAAAAAAGTAATAAACAATTATTATTACAATGCAGTTTGCCATGTATGATCCAATATATGATGTAAAAAGTATATATATTTACGTAATAACAGCAACCAAGGATGAATCCACGTGTGAATAGGTACAGTATCGGTAAGAGGATTCCATTCTTCCACCTCCAATGTCAATTTTAATACTAATATATCTAATAGATCTTCCAAGATCCAATTGGATAATCTTGGCATCCAATATTCTACCAATAATTCGATTGCTTCGGGCTCCCTCCACTGCCTAATTTGTTCATAAACAAAAGATATTAGAGGCTAGATTATATAAATGTTTTTACTTTTCTTTTTAAATATTATATATAAATTTGTTGATGCTTATTATAGGGATTACTTACTGGATGGCTCTAACTACTGCCAAACTACTGGCTAATTCATCCAGTCTCTTAGATGAATTCATTTTCTCGGCCCTCAGGACAATTATTTTCTTTTTTAAATATTTTCTACGGTGATCATTTAAAATCACTTCTCTTTGGCATCTGTCTAAAATTACATTTAATTTTCGCTGTAATTTTGGCAGCGCAAACTTTGATGTTGAGTTTTGATGATGAGTTTTATTAGATGTTGAGTTTTGATGATGAGTTTTATTAGATGATATCGCATATCCATCTTTATTTTCAGGGCCATATGCCCCAATGGCGCCTCTTCCCTTTCTAATATGCGCTATCACTGGCACGCTCATGCCTTGTAAATTCTTCCCCAAACCTTTCCCAGGTTTGAATCCCATCTGAAACAAGAATTTTTACTAATGTTCCATCTTGCTACGTTTTACAAGTATATTATGATTATTTCATGTTCATGAAATACCTGCAGCAACAGTTTGGCGCCAACGCCCTTGGTGTGTATTTGCCAACTGCAAAGTACACTTTTCACTTCCACTTTATGGCGCTTTTTACGCAGACCCGCAATATCCAAGTTTAAGGAGAAGGGCGTATGCGGTTTCAAACGATTTGGCCTCTGATCTGCTGAACTAAATAAAATACATCAAATGTATACACATTTAACAAAAAATCCCGCTGTTCCATATTAAAATTCTATCTCATAATAAGGGACTTTCCTCTATTGACTACAAAATTGAAGCCTATCACACAATACCAGGCAACAGGCAATAGGAATAGGGAATAGAATTTTTGACGCATTGGATTCGTCGGAAATTTTCGTTCAACCAATCCAACGCGTCAGAAATTCCATTCCCTGTTCCTGTTGCCTGGCATTGTGTGATAGGCTTGAATGTTTCAAGACGCGCCAAGAGCACATTGTAGATTAGGCTTATGGGTAGGAAGTATCTATGAGTGTGAACCTAGCATCTCAAATGATAGCATCTCAAGAATAAACTGCGTATTTACTTGCATCCGGCATAGTTCTAGAGTTCTTTATAAGTTTTAACAATAGTTCTATTAATTTACACTTAGAATCGTATTTTAAAGAAATGAGATGCTAACTTCTCGTATGGCATTATAGCATCTCAGCAAATTTCGAATCTTTCACTGTGGGGGAGTAATATTCCGAAGAGTTCTCCATCCTCGGAAAGATATGTCAAGAGTTCTGGCGAAATACGATTCTAAGTGTAAATTAATAGAACTATTGTTAAAACTTATAAAGAACTCTAGAACTATGCCGGATGCAAGTAAATACGCAGTTTATTCTTGAGATGCTATCATTTGAGATGCTAGGTTCACACTCATGAAGTATCTGTTCCAGCAAGAGACATAGGTTGGTAGAGTGTTATACAGATAATCATTTCATCCTTGTTTAATAATGATAAACAAAGGTAAAACAACTTGGAACTCAAAGTGTTAAAAGTTTACCTTAATAAATACAGAGGAAGAAAAGATTGATTTACATTTAAAAAATATTCTTGTTTAAACTTTACCTCGAACTACTGTGCTTTGCCTCCCTTTCTTCCTTGTCTTCTTCATCGTCCTCATCTTCCTTCTCCTTCAGTTTTCCTGCCTGTTGGATACCACCAGCGACAAAATTAACCGGTGCCATATAATTTTTAGGATCCTTACTGAAGGTCTTGAAAGATGGTCTGGCAGATAGTTCATCCTCATCGCTGTCGTCTGCCCATATTCCTGTTTGTTAATAGAAAGAAGTTACATGTAAAATAATAAATAATCCCAAATAACTATATCTGTTTAAGAATAAAGTTTGAGAACATCAGCAAAATTTGTCAAGAGAATGCACCAAGAATATAAATACATTATCTACTAACAAAATATAATGACAGAAACCGAGCAGACTCGGCCATTTATGGTCGTTTTAATTGAAATAATGTATTCCATTGAAATATTACAAAGACAGATTCTGCTTAATTTCTGTCAACAATCTACTTGTCCGATTATATCAGGG